GTGCACTGTTAATGATTACAGTCATCTCCCTATACCATGGTGCACCTTTTAACAATAAAGTTATGAAAAGGGTCTGGCCGCTCATTAGTTTTGCCATCATAACGTTATTAGTACATGTCTCGTCTAAGCTTGTGTAGAAGATACTGTTTGACATATTTGCCCCTCCCTCACAGCATGTAAGCTATTACTATAAGGTCTAACCTTAATCAATATTTAATGGTCAACGTAAGGAATTGGTTTGAACTTGTTTTTTTCACTACAGGTTGTCTGTCTTTGTGTACTCATCATGATTTGGTAACATCTTGAAGGTTTTCGAGCAAACATCAAGCTTTTGTGTTCTTATCATGGTTAAAGCTTATTGGTCAAAAGTCTGGTTTAATAAGTCAAACGACATTCAGAATCTTCTACTGAAGACATTTCAAGATATAAAAAAATTAAAGGTCATCGATAAAAAGTCAACATCAAACACACTCGTTTTTCACTCAATAACTTCAATGGACGGGTTGAATACTCATTTCCGTGTTTGAACCTTGTATTAAAAGTTTGATGTGTGTTACAGGCTCAACAGAAGACAGAGAAAGGAAAGCAAAGAGCTCCATAGACCTACGCAGTAATGGGGAACAGACACCGTCACCTCCTCCTACTGGCAAAAAGAGGAAGTTCTGGAGTAGCTTTCGCAACAAGAAAAGACTTCTTGCAAAATCTCGACAGAAGGATGGTGAGGAGCCAGCAGGCCTCTCTGCCAGCCAGCCCAATATATCAAATGACATATCTCGCACCTCCATGGGAGAGGACTTTGACCCACTCTTTGACTCGCCCAAAAAGTCCTCTGGACCTGCAGATTCCATGTCTAGTCCAGACCACAGCCTTAGTGACCCGAGTGTGACTCCTGGCCATCAGTCGGAGGATTCGCATCAAAGCATGCGGTCCCAGAGTGAAGAACACGACAGGGAGGATGAGGGCGACAGTGGAATAGCCGTCGTAGAAAACAGCAATAGTTCAATAACGGTAAGTCAGAAATATAGGATATCTAACGAAATCAAGGTTATCTTAAGTCAATTTCAAGAAGATTTTCCTTGTGTTTTCTCTGATAAATATTAGTTTAGAACTGTTTCTAAAGGCAAAGGCACGACCTTGACCTTCATGTGAAGGACATGAATCTGACCTCTAGGTCAAGGACATAGATCTTGCCTTAACAGGGCCGTCAAGTTCCAGACAATGTGGTATTGTCAAGTTGTGCACACCTGCATTGGTGTTGCTATAATTATGACCTGCATTCTTCTTTGATATAACTAGCATGAATCTTATCCAAATGTTGATGAGATGGTAATCTGACTTCAGTTTCAAAGACGAAGTAACATTTTCTGTTTTGTCGAAAATGGTTGATTATTCAGTGTGTTGTTGTCACAGACATTTGAATTGTTCTTCGTTCATTAGATTGAGCTGACATTTATTTTTATTTATATGATCTGACTTTATTTTCAAGGGGACTTGACTGTTTACTGTGTTACTGTCAAGGACAGTTGATCACTATTCCCTGTGTTGTTGTCAAGGAGACTTGACTATTTCCTGTGTTGTCAACAATAGTTGACTGAATTTCCTGTGTTGTTGTCAACA